CTTTTTTATGTAAGTACAATTTTTCAAGTATTTCATTTTATTTATTTGTTTGTGTGTGCGTGCGTGTGTGTGCGTGCGTGTTAATCTACATATTTTCACGCACAGATTTACACATTGTATTACTTTATACAGGAGTTTGTTTGTTTTATTGATTTCATGTCATTTTCGTTTATTTAATTATTTAATGAATTTTTTTTAAATTTTCGTTTTGAGAATTATTTATACATTTCTAGTCTGGTAATCACGTTTTTTACGCTTTTATTTGTCGAATTTTGATGTTTTTCGTGTGCTGTTTTTACATTATTAATTATTATCTTATTAGTAAATGGATAAACGAATACACAGTCACATGTATTTACACACACACACACACACACACACACACACACACACACACACACATACATGTATATATTTATTTTATTTTATTTTTTTGTTATCAATGTATGAGTTTCCATTTTAAATGTTTAAATAAAAGTATTAGAATTTCGTTTTAAATGAACAATTAAATTTAATTAACTAATTAATTGAATCTTAATTACAAAATCATTAAATTTATTGAGGATTGTGAGTTTATGTGTACTGTGTAATGCTTTAAGTTTAGTTGGGTGCATAATAATCGATGGCAAAGCTGTTTTAAACCTAGATTCTCTTTTCATTCGAAAGTAGGAGGAACTTTGTTTGTTTACATATGGGCGCTTTAAATTCAAATTTTAACATTTTCATTCCCAAAAAATTAAGATGAATCGAAACAAAGACGAATATACGTCATCGACGCCATTATTTTGCGATTTTTTTGAAACACTACTTCACAATTTTCTCCACAGTCGCCATCTTTATCCGCCGGAATGCTTCGAACTCCGGCAGAAATTCGGCGTTCCCGTTTGGATTTGCACCCACAGGGATGTGCTGACTTACATCGAGTCACTAATCTCCGGTATAAAAAACGTTCTAGAAGAAAATAGAATCGAAAGAATTGATGTTTGCGTCGTTCAAGCAGAAAGTGAAATAACTTTGGAGACGTTTGCGATAGAACCACTGAGCCTGCCCAGGTATATCAGTGAAGATCTGACAGTGGAAGAGTTATTTAAATTAGAAATGATGATGAGACGTTCACTGCTAGATGCAATTCAAATATTTTCCGCCATGCCTGATAAGAATGAATCAGATTTAGAGAAAAGAACCTGGAGAATGAAGGTGAAAACAAAGTTGTCGGCCTACAAAAGATTGTTGGAGAAGCAATCTGTGAGCGATGAGGTCATGTGGCTGGCGACCTGGAGTCAAGATGGTGAAGAAGAGGTTGATGATGATGTCGTTGGCACTGATGATGACGATCGTTGTTTGTTCCAGATCATTCCAATGACAAACTTGATGTCACAATTTATCCAAGTACAACTCTACATCAAAGATTATAAGAATACTTGCAGACGATGATGGTCTGGATGATGATGATGATGATGTGGATGATGATAATGATGATACTACTACTACTGATGTTGTTGCTGATGATGATGGTGACGATGAAGATGACGAAGAAGATGATGAGTAAATGAACTTAAATGGTGAACATTGCCATATTTGCAATTGCGTTTTAATTATTATTATTTCTATTGTCCTTATGACTCACTGTGATCTTTTGTTTCTCACAGGAAGCAAACGTGTACACACGCACACACGCGCACACAAACACACACACATATTTGTACATAAGACACATACACACACAGAGATTTGTACATAAGACACATACACACAAAGACACGCACACAGATTTGTACATAAGACACGTATAACATACACAAACACACGCATACTATACATCATAAATAAACACACTTTAGCCTTTCAAAGGACAACGAAACAAGAACACAGCAACACACACTAAGCCTGCATTCGTTCTTAATTGTTCGGGTTGAATAATAACTATAATAATAATAATAATAAAAATGGCACAGTAGTAGGGCACATTCTAGTAGCTATTTATGCATTCAGCAGCTCACTAGCTGATTCTACTACTACTATTACTAAGAGAAGTCGCATGCATACATTCATGCATACATGCATACGTACATACGTACGTACATACATACATACATAAATATATACATACATACATACATACATACATACGTACGTACGTACATACGTACACGCATGCATACATTTATTCATTACATATTTTTATTATTACATCAATAGTTACGATGGTAATGTTATGTATTAGAATAATCAAACCATCCCGATCTCTTTTCAAGAGAGGCGCTATACAAATTTTGATACTGTGTTGCATATGCACACACACACACACGTATATATATATATATATAGAGAGAGAGAGAGAGAAAGAGAGACGAAGAGAGCGTTTGATTTGATGACAATATTATAATTCTTTGCGTGCAAATTATTTCGGAATATTTTTCTATGTTGGTCTTTGTCGTTTTTTTTTACATTTGAAATAAAATAATTAAACATAATTTTAAAAGTTTTTTTTATGTCCGAGCGATATTAAAAGATTTATTGTGAGTTTAGTTTTTGTTTTTTTTTAATTTTCGAGTAAATTTTGTAAAGAATATCAGATTTTTAACCCTACTTTATTTACTCTCACGCATCTGTTATGGACCGTTACACATGCACACATACACACATGTCTACATACTCACACGCACATACTCACATACATACAAACATACATACATTGTATATTTTAATTCAAGCATATCAGTTAACGGTAAAAAAAATACAATTCACGCCACACTACTATATATAACTATTAATTAACAGATACCAGAGCTGCGAAAGCTACTTCCACTACTACACCAACAAAAACTACTACTTCTACTTTTGCTACTACTCTTGTAGTGCTGCATTTACCACTGTAACATATGCAACTAATAATACATCAATTACTGCTAGTACTAACACCGATACTAATTCTGCAACAACAGTTGCTGCTACTTCGAACAGTAACTCTCATTTTAACTTCGATTCTTTTGCAAGTTACAATAACTTTGCAAATCACCTCCATTGTGTATTTATTTATGTTTGGTAGGGAGCTCTTCAGATGCATTGTTTTTGCAAGGAGGCGGTCAGCGCTGACGGTCTAGAAATTGTATGTTGAAAAAGTGGCTGTGAAGAAAAACTTACTGATAAAGGTATGTTTGTGTGTGTGTTGTGTGTACGTGCGTGTTGTGTGTGTGTGCGTGCGTGTGTACGTGTGTGTGTGAAATTTGTTGGTCGTATGCTTATAAGGCCGCGGTACCTCTCTCAACCGATGTGAAAGAGTGAATGTGTATGTGTGTGTTTGTGTGTGTGAAATTTTTTGGTCGTATGCTTTTAACACGATGACGATGATGAGGTAGATGACGAAAAGTAAGTATGGGAAAATAAATCTTCGTATAGAACTATCTTTCGTGACTGGATTTTTTTTTTAATTTTTTTTTACTTATGAATATAAAATTGCTCATTATAATAATAATAATAATAATAACAATAATAGCAATAACAATATACACAATAATAGTAGCTAGCAATAATGGTAACAATAATACAAAAATAATTAGTAATTTTTGCATAGCAGTATAAGCATTAGTAGTAATAGTTACTGATAATTGCGTCGTTTCACACACACACACAGAGAAAAAGAGAGAGAGAGAGAGAGAGAGAGAGAGAGAAGCATACATACATACACATACAAAACATTTATTGACCAGTTCGACGTAATAACTGCTCGGCGAGGTTTGATAATGAATGGCTCATTCAGGCGACGATTTTTAAATAATAATAAAATAATAATAATAATATAATAATTACGATAATAATAATGATAATACAAATAATAATCATAATAATGATCAGGTGCTCAGCTTTGCTTTGTTAAGCCGCCGAGTGCTCTAGTCGAGTAGCAATGAAACAGAAATAATAAAAACAACAACAACAATAATAATTTATAATAATAATAATTTAAAATAGTAACAATAGTTATAATGATAATAATAATTTATAATAATAATAATATTAACTTAAATTAGTAACAATAGTTATAATAATAATAAAACTAATGCTGGGACTATTCGGTATTTCTGCAAATATTGTCTGTCAAATCGGTCTGTAGCGACTGATCGAGAACTTTCTCGAGAGTAACAACAACAACGACGACAACAAGCTCACCACCATCATCACCATCATCAACAACAACATCGACGACGACAACAGCAGTGACGTCATCGACAACAACATCAATAGCAACGTCATCAACGCCAAGTGAGATATAACGAATGTATAAGCGGTCGCCAGAAGGTAAAAAAACTGCTTAATGCAACAACAACAACATCAACAACAACAACATCAACAACAACATCAACAACATCAATAATAATAATAATAATAATAATAATAATAATAATAATAATAATAATAATAATGGCTTCAACTTCAACAAAATCATCATCGTCATCGTCGTCAGCGGCTGCAGAAAACACGCAAGAGTATACGTCAATCATTTCCTCCTGGCTCCTCCCACAACAAAATTACCCGCAAACAGATCATTATCACTACCAGCCCTCAGTTATATTTTTAACTCAGGGTATTCCCAAAAAATATGACGTCACTGGTGGTCCCCGCACGCCATTGGCTGGTACGAATTTGACTGGTAACCAATGGGAAGAGGAGAATACTACTGCTACTACTACTACCTATTTTACTAACAATAATAATAATAACATCAATAATGATAATAATAAAATAAATAATAAAATTAACATTCTCAATTATATTGTTAGCAAGAGAAAGATGGGCTTGATAGTTAATTTTGATTGGCTGAAAAATTTGGATCGTAATGATAACGATGTCTTTAGTACTAAAAATAGTAATACTACTACTACTACAATTAATACCACCGCTACTACCACTACTACTACTACTATTACGACTGCCGCCACTGTCGTTACTACCGGCACTACTACTACTACTACTAATACTACTAATACTATTAGTGATATTAACATTAACAGAGTTGATAATGATAATGAAAAATCTAAAAATAGTAATGAGAAAAAAATAGACGCAGAGGAAAATTTAAAAATAGAAACTGGAAAATCCCCATTTAAAATGCTCCACGACGAATTTAACTTCGACATAACTAATTACAAATTGTTGAAAGGCGGTCATGATGATGATGATGGTATTGTTGGGGGTGATGATGGTGATAGGGGCGGTAATGATGATGATGATGTTAGGATTAGTTCAGCAGCAGCGTTTCATCACGACTATAAAAACGTTGGTGAACTAACTAACGATTACGTTAATGTCAGTGTCAGTTCTCGCAACAACAACAACAACAATAACAAAAGTAATGATAATGATGACGACGACGACGATAATGATGATGGTAATAGGCGAGCATATGGAAGCGGCGACTTTGAGTTGTTGGTTAATTTTGATCAAGATGACGACGACAACAACAACAATAACAACAACAATAACAATAATAATAAAGACGGTGGCGATGATGATGACGACAACGATGAGGATGGCCGAGTGGATTATCAACGGCTGCTTTTTAAAAAGTCTCTAGACATCGGAGATAAAAATAATAATAATGATAATGATAATGATAATAATAATAATAATAATAATAATACTGTTACTACTAGTACTGTTACTAATAACATTAATAATAATAACGACGACGATGATGATGATGATTTCGATGTTGATAGACTGAAGGAAAGACTGGATGAGAAAGATGGAAGGAGTGAAGGAAACTTACCTGTGAACCTCATCAGCTACTACTCCATAACACAGAAGAGCCAAGAAGACGACGATGATGATGATGATGTTGTTGCTAGTGGGGCTGATAATGATGTCAATATTATTGTTGGTTATGATGATGATGATGGTGGTTTTGGTGGTCGTGAGAATAGTGGTACTGCTACTACTACTACAACTGCTGCTACCTTTGCTGGTGCTGCTACTACTACTACTAATGATGATAATAATAATAATAATAATAATGATGATGATGATGATGATAGTAAAATGATGAAAAGAAGAAAAAAGAAGAAGAGAAAGAAAAGGAGGAATGATAATTACGGGAGTTACGACATTGCGAAACTTACATACGATGACGATGATGACGACGAGTATGACGGTGATGATTATGATGATAATGAAGAAGAAGATGATGATAATGATGATGCTGTTGTTGTTGATGATGATGATAAAAGTGATTATGGTGATGATGATGATGATGATGAACTTTTACGAATCAAGGCGAAAGAGGTAACAGAAATAGTTTTAAACTACGCTAAAAACAATAATAATAATAATAATAATAATAATAATAACATTGATATTAATAACTCGGGAATTTCCCGGAATTCTAAAAATAATCTTCGACTAATTACATCATCATCATCATCATCACAACCGAATCTCGGTATCATTATCACGCCCGCCTCTCCAATCGGTTCTGACGTCATGAATGACGATAATTGGTTTGGAGTTGTTGCTGATGATGATGGCAATAATAATAATAATAATAATAATAATAATAATAATAATAATAATAATAATGATAATAATAAAAGCAAAAATGACGACGACGATGATGATGATGATGACAACGATGACGATAGGAAGATCGTAAAAGAGGTAAAAGAGATAAGTATTGATGATGACGATGATGTTAGTAATAATAATATTAATAATATTAATAATAATAATATTAATAATAATAATAGCTATATAAATGATGAAAGTTTCAAAGATCTTGACATCATCAACATAGAAAACGCCATAGTTATCAACAACAACAACAACTTCAACAACAACAATACTACTACTACTACTACTACTACTACTACTACTAATAATAATAATAATAATAATAATAATTACAACAACAACAATATTATTGATAACAAGAATAACATTAACTTATCAACAGTTCCAAATACTGCAAAGATAAATTTCAATACAAACCAAACGAAGGATAAGGGTAGATCGAAGAGTACCGACAAACTCTATGATAGCCTGAGCGATATTACCCACGAAAATGACGTTGACGTCATTAGCTACGATGTTACGTCATCACCAACAACAACAACAACAACCATGACAACAACATCGGCAGTAGCAGCAACAACAGCAACTACAACATCACCATTAATGACATCACCATCAACAACAACTACTACAACACCATCATCTTCGTCATCAACAACTACTGCAACAACTACATCGTTGCCAACATCTTTATTCTCGTTGCCAACACAAACTGCAGCATCAACAACAACTGCAACAACAACAACATCAACAGTAACAGCAACAACGTCAACAACAACAACATCCGCAACATTATTTGATGTTGATTTTTTAAACTTCGCCCCGCAAGCCTTTGAAGACGAGATTAAAACAACAATTATGACGTCATCGTCAACAACAACAACATCAACAGTAACATCAACAACAACAACAACATCAACAACAACATCAGCAACAACAACATTACAACAACCGATAAACATAACAATACAGCAACCCTCGCCAATACCATGGAATTATGTAAGCGATGATAATTGGTTCGGAACGTTAAAGCATGATGATGATGACAATAATAATTATAATAATAACATAATAATATATAATAATATTAATAATAATAATGACGACGGTGATGATGAAGATGATGAGAAATATTCATCAGATGTAACTGCAGAAATAATTAAAGGTACTAATACCTTTTCTACTACTACTACTGCAGCTACTACTACTACTGCTGCCACTACTACAGCTGCTGCTATTTACAATACTATTACTACTACTATAGATAGCAATGATACCACTTCTAGAAATACTACCACTGTTGGTAGTATTGCGAATTGGGATGATGAAAATATCGAGTTGAGTTCGAAATTTTTCTCCATTGATGATTGTAGTAACGACTACGCTAACGCGAACGAAAGCGCCTTATTTGGAAGCGACTTGAGCGGCTTCTACGGCGACGAGACGATGACGATGATGATGACGTCACCGGAAGTTGTGTCGTCATCATCCGAGCCGAAGATCGTGAAAGTAGCGAGGGAGGATTTGCTGGATAGTTCGGCGCTAGATAATTCGGTTTTGTTGTTTGAAAGAGGTGACGTCACTGATGAGGATGATAACAAAGATAATAAAATTACTCTGGATGATGATGAAAAAGATGATAGTTTCATAGCGAAACAAGTATGTAACGAATGAACGAACGAATGAATGGAATGAATAATGAATGAATGCTATTATTATTATTATTGTTGTTGTTGTTGTTGTAGCTGTCTTGTATTATCGCCATTTGGTTGCCTTTCTATTAATATTCAACGTTTCATTATAAAAAGAGACTTACCGCTGCTTATAAATTGATGTAAATTAGTAGAATGATTAATCTTCCCATTTTTTCTGTCCATTCATTCGTTCGTTCGTTCGTTCGTTCGTTCTTTCGTTCGTTCGTTCGTTCATTCATTCATTCATTTATTCATCCATTTAAATGTACATTCGTACTTTTAAATCCTGATCCTGCGAATTTAAAGCACTTAGAACTGAGTTTTCAATGTTTCGTGCAATAAGAATTTCTTCGGACTTGAATCTTCTTCTCAGACATTCCAGTACGCCATCCACAGCTTGAATGTAAATTCTTTTAAAATACTCCTTTGGACCAGAAGGTTCATAAGGTTGTCCACCTTCGTCAATTTTGGGGGGCCCGTCTTATGCGCGGCAGTGATGGGGCTTCTATATTATTCTTTGCAGCTTTCAAAGTTACTTCATGCCAAAAGCCATTAAATTTTAGGTCTTTTTTGCTTAAAATACGGTATACATATCTCAAGAACTAAATATTAAATATTAATTAATTAGTATAGAAAAATATTCAATTTTTATAACAAAACATTGGGGGGATCAACATTGTGCGGGCCCGAAGGACTAAATATTAGGGGGGCGTAAGCCCTTCCAGGCCCCATGCAGTCGACACCTATGATTCGTACATTCACTCATTCATTCATCTATTTTTTGTTTTCAATCTAGCTATCTACATCTATCAATCTATCAGCAAATTTTTGTTTTCGTCTACAAATTCGTTCCTTTGGTTTTTTTCATGATTCATTCACTTGTTCATTCACTCAGTCCTTCGATAGTTTGTTTATATATCTTTTCTTTCCATCCATCCATTCATCTAACATTCATTCTTTAAAAAATTCTCTCTCTCCCTCTCTTTTTCACACACACACTCACACTCACGCACACACACAGACACACACACACACTCACGCGCACACACACACTCATTCATTTGTTTTCATATTCAAAGTGAGTAACTCAGCTAAATATTTACCAGTGCATGCATTGCTTTCATTCGTTTGCTCTTTCAACTTTTTAATTCATTCATTTCAATCTGTGATTCATTTTAATCATTTATTTTATTCATTCTTCTATCTAACTATCATTCTATCTATTTAGTAAATCTTTTTGGTTATTTATCTACTTTTAATTTATAGTTTTATCGATTGTTGAACATTTAATCCATCCATTCATCCATCCATTCATCCATTCATTCATCCATTCATTCATCCATTAATTCACTCATTCATCCATCCATCCATCCATCTATCCATCCATCCATATATCCATCTATCTATTTACTCATTCATTCATTCATCCATTCACTCATTCATTTATTCATTCTTTCAGTCTCTCATTAGCATCAAGGCAGCAGCTAACATATCTCATTATACAAACAAACAATTGGAAGATATATATATATATATATATATATATATATATATATATATATATATATATATATACATATGGATCCGGTTTATATTGTAGTAGTTTTTGTTTATTTTATATAGGAAATAGCTGTACTGTGTTGTGTTGTTTTGTTAGTTTGTTTATTAGTTTATTAATCATTGTTTAATTTTCTAGGTATTGTTTTTTTGTTCTAATTAATTAATTAGTTAGTTAGTTAAATTATTAATTATTTATCATAAAAGTTTATAATTAACAAAAAGTTATAGGTTAATAAATCAGTCCTATTTGATTATGTCGGGTTTTATTATGATGGGATAATTAATTTGCTTTTGTTATATTTGGTTTATTCAATTTTACGGAAGATAAATTTGATTTTAATGTGTTTTGAATATCATTTGTATCGATGTAATAAGGATTTTCAAATACTGCACAATTATTTCTAAGAGAAATTATTTTTCACCAGAACTCGTTAAAAGTTATGGACAACAATGATGAACATGTCGCTCGGAAACCAGCCAATCAGAAGAAAGATTTATTTGACGTAGAAGATGACCCATTCAAATTGTCCAATGAAGGTGAAGTACTTGATGACCCATTTAAATTGACCAATGAGGGCAAGGTTGACGATGACCTATTTAAATTAATACACGATTACAAAGCCCCGAATGACCTTTTCAAACTAACCAATGAAAATGATGTTTCTGATGACTTATTTGAATTGACCAATAAGAATGAAGCGTTTGATGAGCCCTCTAAACTGGCCAATGATAGTGAAGTCCATGCTGATCTTTTTCAACTGATCCATGATTATAAGGCCCCTGACGATCTCTTCAAATTAACCAATGACGATGAAGTACCCGATGATCTATTTAAATCGACCAATCAGAATAAGGTTCATGGGGACGTGAATATCACGTCTACGTCAACAACAACAACATCATCAACTATCAAAACCCCCAACAGCAACAACATTTTAACGGCGGGTACGGCAAGTGAATTATCAAAAATTACCGATACAATAGTTGCTGATACGCATGTTGTTGATACAAAAGTTGCTGATACAAAAGTTGCTGATACAAAAGTTGCTGATACAAAAGTTGCTGACGTAAAAGCTGCTGATACAAAAGCTGCTGATACAAAAGTTGCTGATGCAAAAGCTGCTGATACAAAAGTTGCTGAGACAAAAATGTTTGAGAAAAGAACCACACCAACGCAAGCAAAGCAATTAAGTTTGTTCGAAGAACTACAAAAACATATGCAACCACCTATTGAAGAAATGAAAAAACAACAACAGCAACAACAACAGCAACAACAACAACAAAAACAAAACAACATCGATGATTTGCTATCAAGAGCAAACTTATTCGATTCGCTTGATCAAAAATATAGTCACGAAACAACAAAAATGTCTAAAAAGTATCAAGATGTTGTTGTTGTCGCTGATGGCGTTGTTTCTGTTGATGATGATGTTGTTGTCGATGATGATGATGATATGGTTATCGTTCACTACGATGACGTCATAGAAGATGACGATTTTGGGAGACAGCAGCAGCAGCAACTGCAGCAACCAGAAGAGCCGCAACAAAAATTAATTGTTACTGAAGCTGATGAAACATCTGATAAAACTAAAACAACAATAGCAAAATCATCAATATCTTCGCTAACAACAACAACATTATCAACAACAACAACAACATTATCATCAACAACAACAACAACTACTACAACTACTACGTCACTAATTACGTCATTGTCAGCAAATATAACTTCAAAACCGTCATTACCCGCAACAACTACATCTACAACAACAACAACAACGTCACCAACAACACTATCATTATCATTACCAACAACAACACAAATGTACCACGTCACAGATGAAACAACAATAATAATTGAAAACAACAACAACAAACAGCAACAAACAATCAGCAGCGGCGACTTCGAAATGAGTAAAATAAACAAAAGATCGCAAATAAGACCGCTCGGAAGTGCGGATAATGATGGCGCCAGAAACATTGGCGATGATGATAATGATGATGATAACAAAATAAACAATAAAAGGAATGATAATGATGATGATGGTGATGATGATCGTAATGTGAGTAGGACAATAAATGAGGCAGTTGTTGGTACGTTTGTCATCTTCTTCTTCTTCATCATCCACATCTTCTTTGTCTCTAGCTTCATTGTCGTCATCACCATCATCATCGTCGTCGTCATCACTATCATCATCATCATCATCATCATCATTATCATCATCACTATCATCATCTTCAACTTCACCATCGTCATCCCCATCGTCATCACCATCATCATCACCATCATCATTACCATTATCATCTTCATTGTCATCATCATTACCAGAACCCCTGCCCTTGTATTCAGCTGCAGAAGAGTCCTCGGACACACGCAGATGGCGTAGATCGAAAATGGGCGGAGACGAGTGTTTGATTGACATGCTGGCTGTCGAGCCCTATAGGATGTGTATAAGCCATGGAGGTACTGATGACGATGATGAAAATAACGGTGGTTGTGATGATGATGACGGGGTTAAGATTGTGATGATGATGATGATGATGGTGGTGGTGATGATGAAGGAGATAGCAGAGTTTTGATGATGATACTGAATGTGATGGTGGTTGTTTTTTTAGTGTCATTTAATTTTTCGTTGCTACACTAAACGCTATCATCATCATCGTCATCATCACCGTCGTCATCATCATCACCATCATCATCATCATCACCGTCATCAGCATCATCATCAGCATCATCACCATCATCATCACCATCTTCATCATCATCATCACCATCATTATCAGGATATTACGGCGATGGGTTGAACGCCATAATAGTATTCGCGGCCTGCTACCTGCCGCCCAGGAATCTTCCAAACTACGTCTACGTAATGGACCACCTCTTTCTGTGAGTTGGAGAGTGATGATGGTGAGGAGGACGACGACGATGATGATGACGATGATGATGAGAATGATGATGAGGATGATGATGACATTTAACCATTTAATCAATTAAAGGGTTATGAATCCACCAATCAATCAACCAACCAATCAACCAACCACTCAACCAACCAACCAATCAACCAACCAACCAACCAATCAACCAACCAATCAACCATCCATCCAACCAATCAACCAATCAACCAACCAATCAACTAACCAACCAACCAACCATCCAACCAATCAACCAACCAACCATCCAACCAATCAACCAACCAATCAACAAACCAACCAACCATCCATCCAACCAATCAACCAACCAATCAACCAACCATTCAACCAATCAACCAACCAATCAACAAACCAACCAACCAATCAACCATCCAGCCAACCAACCAACCAACCAACCAACAACCAACCAGGTACATAATGAATACGCTGGAACTACTGGTAACAGATGAATACAAGTTAATTTATTTTCACGGAACGCTCCAACACTCTAACCTGCCCACCAACGCTTGGCTGAAAAAATGCTACCAAGCGATTGACAGAAAGTTAGCGGATGAATGAATGAATGGATAAATGAATGAATGGATGGATGAATGAATGGATAGATGGATGGATGGATAGATATTGATTGGATGAATGGGTGAATTACTTAATTTTTGTATTTGTTTTTGATTTTTCTATTTGAAGATATATATTGAATTTTTCATTTATTGAATTCACATTCTTAAGATCTGCCATTCAGTCATTCATTTTTTTTCATTCATTCATTCATTCATTTGTTCATTTATTCATTCAGATTGAAGAAGAAAATGAAACAGATGATTGTTGTACATCCAACATTTTGGCTTAAGACCTTGATATTTTTTTTCGCTAGGTAACTATTGCTGTAATTTTCATTCATTCGTTAATTCATTCATTCATCCATTCATTCATCCATCCATTCATCCATCCATTCATCCATTCATTCATCCATCCATTCATTCATTCATTCATCCATCCATTCATCCATTCATTCATCCATCCATCCATCCATTCATTCATCCATTCATTCATTCACTCTTCATTCAGCTCCAAGTTCTCGAAAAAATTGACATACGTAAAATCACTGTACGACCTGAGTAGGCACATCACTACTAATGACGTCATGATACCGGAAGATGTTAACAGGTGGTGATGATGATGATGACGACGACGACGATGATGATAATGATTATGCTATTATTATTATTATATTTTTTTTTTTTCTTTAGGTTTGATTTGAAAGTTAATCCGAAAGGACGGTAACAAAAGCAAGGATACAAAAACAATGAAGATGACGATGATGATGATGAAGATGATGATTGTTAAGACGACGACGACGATGATGATGATAGTTGTGATGATGATGATGATTAAAACTTACAAAAATAATTTAATTAACAACGTTTTATGCATATTTATTCTTTCATATTTTATGTTTAATAGTTCATTCGTTCATTCATTCGTTCGTTCATTCATTCATTTATTCATTCATTTATTCATTCATTCATTCATTCATTCATTCATTTATTCATTCATTCTTTCATTCATTTATTCATTCATTTATTCATTCATTCATTCATTCATTCATTCATTTATTCATTCCTTAATTCACACACACGCATACATTTGATATACGAAGCTTATGACTTTTAAAATTACTGATAGGAAAAGACTTACTCGAACAACATGCACACATAAACACACACACACACAAACACACAAATAAACAAACACACACACACACACACACACATATATATATATATATATATATATATATACACACATACATACACATACATACGTTCATACACGTACAAACGCTCATGAGCTTATTTGGTATGCCTTAATTAACGTGCCTATGTAATCATTTCTGTAATGATAATAATCATTATTATTGCTTCTTTATTATTATTATTAATTATGATTAATATTATTTATTATTATTATTACCATTATAATTATTATTATTTTATTATTATTGTTGTTGTTTACGGTGGAGAACTAAGCAAAGAATCTCTTTTACTAGCAATACTTTAAAACATGTGGTCAGATCTTTTATCCTCTTCAATCGCTATCATCATCGTCGTCATCATCAACATAATCATTCATAATAATAATAATAATAATAATAATAATAATAATAATAATAATAATAATAATAATAATTGTAATAATAATAATAATAATAAAAATAAATTACTCTACGACACTGATACTAAACATTTCTAAGTGTTCATTAAGGACAAAAGCTACAAGATTGAAAGAATTGTCATCATCATCATCATCATCATCCTCATTTCATCATCATCAGAGTGTTGACTTCTTCATCGGCGAGTCTTTTCATCTGATTGATGACGTAATCGATATCACGTGACGTTGTGGCGGAATTGTTGATGACGACCTTGTAAAATGTCGGCAGCCAATCATTATTATTATTATCATTATCATCATTATTATTAATATTTTTATAGTTATTATTATTATTATTGCCTTCCAGCCAATCAAATTTCAGCATATTGAGCGGAATTTTCAACTTGTACGGCGAAAAACATCCAATCCAACAATCGGCCATTGTGTTCATCTTTTCGGTGACATTTTCTGTTATCTGATAGTGATGAATGAATGAGTGAGTGAGTGAATGAGTGAGTGAGTGAGTAAGTGAGTGAGTGAATTGGTGGATGAATGAAGGAACGAACGGACAAATGATTGATGAAACAAACTCACTTTAGAGATAGCTTTTACATGATCCAATCTTTTATCGCCATTATTATTATTGTTATTATTATTATTTCTCACCGTCATCTTCAACATTTTTTCCGGCACGTACCAGAAACAAATCGTTACAAACTCCATCTAAACGTAATAATAATAATAACAATAACAACAATAATCATAATAATAATATAAATAACCTCGGGCAGCACCATACAAACACCCGGCGTCGATTTTAACTTCTCCTGAAAAACGGCAGCCATCTTGAATAGCCTAACCACGTGATCAGACATGCCCGTGTGACCTTTTGACCTCCAGAGTAGCCACAGCTTGTAGACATCATTGTGGCGTCCACACTGGATGGCTTTGTCGCCGGTGTCGTAGGCCACATCGTAGTGTTTGTCCTGCTGGAAGAGGTAGGTGGCGCAGGTGCTGTTGCACGCTTCTAACAGGCCCTGGGGTTTTTGTTCCTTCCTTCGTCATTCATTCATTCAATCATTCATTCATTCATTCTTTCATTCGTTCGTTCGTTCATTCATTCATTCGTTCATTCATTCGTTCATTCATTCATTCACTCTCTCGCTCACTTTTTCTCTGATGAGAATAGCGGAGCATTGCAGAGTGCAGTTCATCATCATGTGGCAATTCCACGTGACCGAGTGAGCTCTGACGTCATCGTCGACGTCATCATCGTCATTTTTTTGTAATAATAATAATAATAATAATAAATATCATCAGCATCGTCATCATCATCACTACCAACCTTCTTATTCCTCTGACCAAATGAATATGATTGGCTGAAAACATGACGCCACCTCCATGTGAGGCCTTTGATGATGATGAAGATGATATGGTGATGATGATGACAATTACGGTGGTCGTGATGATGATGGCGATTATCATGTTCACGATGATAGACACAACAACATCAACAGTAGTAGTGTTAATAATAATAGCCACTACAATGAAACTTATTCAAAACAACAACAACTTACGTCAACATGTAGCCAAAGATTGTATTTATCGCAGACGTCAGCTATTTCCGTCAGCGAGTCAAAAGATCCCAGCATGGCGGAACCGGAAGTGGCCGATACAAAGAATGGTAAACTTCCGGCTGCCAGTGAACTAACGATCTTTCGTTCAAGGTCAGTAACTGACATTTGACCTCTAGATGATGATGATGATGATGAAGACGATTATGATGATGATGATGAAGACGATGATGATGATGATGATGATGTCAACTACCTTTCATTACAATCGACAAAAATGACGTTCTTCAATCCGACCCCGATTATAGCCGCTGATCTCGGGGTGGAAGGATTGCACTGGTCGGTCGGTCGATTGATTCATTCATTAGTGGATAGATTGATAGATAGATTGATTGATTGAATGAAAGAATGAATAAATGAATGAATAAATGGATGAATAAAAGAATGGGAAGATAAATTAACGAACGAACAAACGAACGAACGAACGAACAAACGAACACATGAATCACCACAACCACCACCAACACAATCACCACAACCTGTGATGTTGTAAACACAATCAAATCCTTCCTCTGCTCCACCATTCCAAGGTTTTTGAAAGAAGGTATGAACTTGTGCCTCGCCACACAGATCGCATACATGTTCGCCATCGACGCTCCTGATAACGATAACAACAAGACTATAATTATAATGATAATAAATAATTATTATAAATAATTATAGATAAAATAAGTAATAATAATCAATGACCCGGGGCGAAAATGCCATCCCCTTGCGAAGGAGGCCAGCCGACCATGGTTCTCATCTGATCCAACACCAAGCCCTCTATCAGTGTGTAGACAGGGGCTATTTCATACGTGAACCTTTCATAATAATAATTATAATTATAGTTATAATTTATGTTATAATTATAGTTGTTATAATTATTGTTATAATTATAGTTGTTATTATTTTTGTTATTATTATTTATAATGTTAACGTTGTTAGTAGTACATGTTAGTGTTAGTAGTTGACGTCATCATCTCG